GGTACACAGGGAACAACCTCAGATGGGAATCTGAAATCCTGGGTTTAGAGATTGTCTCGGCTACTTATTAGCTGTGTGACCTTGGGCAAGTCACTTAATGATGACTGACACACAGTAGGTGCTTAATGAGTATGAATCAAATGAATAAATGAACAAGTAAACTGCCTGCCTGAGCCTCAGTTTCCCCAACTGGGAAATGGAGGAATAATGCCTCCCCAGCAGGCTGCGATCATGTAGGTAAAACTGCTTCCTAGAAGAGCTTCCCAGACTGTCATGCATTTCATGAAAGAAATGCAGATGCTGACTCAGTAGGTCTGGGGTGGGTGGGCCTGAGTTCTGCATTTCCAACTAACCCCCAGGGGATGCTAACGCTGCCTTATGGACCACACTTTGAATAGCTACGTCCAATTCTAAAATGCTCTATAAGCGCTTCAGATTATTAACGTTATCTCTTCAGCCAGTGGGGTCGGAATAGAGTCCCAGGATAGACCAACAATTGTCCCAGCGCGCCCTCGATTGAGGGGTTTCCTGGGACACAGGGCTCTCAGTGTCAGAATCAGGGAAGTCCCGGGCAAACTAGAACAAGTTGGTCACTCCATCAGGATAATGGAAAAGAAAGGGATGCTTTGGTCTGAGCTGCTGTGTGAACTGGGAAAAAAGACAGAAACAGGTGAGGCTGTTTGCTAAGGAGAGGAGCATATTCCCACCTTAGATCAATTAGTCCCCACACCCCCTTATTTCTTTTTTTTTAAATAATTTTATTTTGTTTATTTTTATTTATTTATTTTTGTGTGAGGAAGATCAGCCCTGAGCTAACATCCATGCCATTCCTCCTCTTTTTGCTGAGGAAGACTGGCCCTGAGCTAACATCAATGCCCATCTTCCTCCACTTTATGTGGGACGGTGCCACAGCATGGCCTGACAAGCGGTGTCGGTGTGCACCTGGGATCCGAATTCAGGCTGCCAGCAGCGGAGCGCGCGCACTTAACCGCTACGCCACGGGGCCGGCCCCCCACACCCCCTTATTTCGCAGAGGTGGAAACAGGCCCAGAGAAGTTGGGTGACTTGGCCCCCATCACACAGCTCCTCAGGTACAGGGCTGGGGCTACAGCTCCCACCTTCTTACTCCCTGTGTAGCTTGTAGCTGGGTGCTTTTTCTACCAGTCCACATTGCCTTCTCCAACACGTTCCTCTTTATTTGGCAAACACAACATGTTTAAATATAAATTGGCTTGTTTGGAGCCTGAAATTTGGCATAGCTGATTTTGGCTGTGAGGAGTTCAAATTTTTCCTCTCTGTTTTGGTTTGCTTAACCATGTTTTGTGAGCAAAAACCGTAAAGTAATAAAAACACAATGAGGCTGCTAAATGGTTCTAACGCAAAGCATCCAGAAATGTGGCAGCATCAACTTATGCAGATTTATTTTTTGTCTCTAGATAGTAGATTAGAAACCCATAACGTTTTCTCCCAGAGATTTGCAAACCCAAAGTAAATAAACAGCTGGAGTCTCTTTCCAGACTGTTTCTCTTGGAGACAGGAGGGGAGGTTGGGAAAAGCAGTCCTGATGGGCAGATTGCTGGAGGCTGTTCCTGTGCTCCTCAGTGAAGGTCCTTAGAGAAGACGTCAGTCAGCAGGACTAAGATGTGTGTGGCGACTTGCAGAATGTCACTCAAAATCCTTCGCCCTTTATTTTGCACACAGCAGAATTTGTAAAAGAATGTTGCCTTTTATTATTAACACTGAGAATCTATGCAGAGAAATCATACTAAAAACGCGAATACATTGCATTTAGGACAGCTCAATCCCCAGATCCTTCTAATTGTGCTGTAGGTTCAGGTAGGTTTTTGTTGGGGCAGGGAGGTGGGGGAGGATGGAAAGAGAGAGTTTGGCTGCATTTTATCTGTGACTCTCCCTGGTGTCAGCTCTCAAGGCCAAGGAGTCTGGGTGCAGCCCCTGATCAGTGCTCCGTGCAAGTCTGTTATCTGTTCCAGGACCGGGAGAAGCAAGTCTTAGCTCTTCCCACAACCAAATGAGTGATCAGCTCAAGTGGTGAACACTCTGCTTTTCAAATAGTGCAGTTGGCTGGCAGCCTTTGCCACTGTCTTAGTTTAACACACCAAGCTACGGGCTGAGCACAGCTACAGCTTCAGCCAATGTTTTTAGCAATAAAATGCACGTGTGTGTGTGTGCATGTGTATACCTACATATACTTATGTGTATATATATATGCCTAAATATATATACACACAGGATACATTACACGGGGGAGCCCTGGCAAAACTCACACATTTAAAAAATTGTTTCCCAGCGGGAACCTCTGATTGTGACAAAAGGACATTTTCAACCTCAGGCTCCAGGCTGAGACCAGAAATGGCCTCCAGAGTCAGGGGCCAGCTGGGGTTATGGCGGGAGAGAGATGGCCAGTCAGTCATGCTTGGAAACCCCGTCTGCTCTATCTGGGGCATTCCTCGATGCTGGGGTTGATGGCTGGGCTCATCTCTACTCGTGTTCTAGAATCAGAAACCCCGGGACTTTACTGGACAAGTCTACAAGTTAGGGGCCGCTGATTAAAGAAGAACGAGGTTGTGCTCACAGCCTGATCCAGGGTCCCCTCTCACACTTGGCCTCTGCATTCCTCTTCCTATTCTTATTTTCTTACTGGCTTTCTTAAGAGTTCTGGTGTAAAACAGAGCCTCCCTGAGATCTTCTGATTTCTGGGTACAACAGAGACGGCTCTCCAGATCCCTACTTCACAGGGTCGAAGCTTCCTGTTGCAGTGGTGAACTTTCATGGACCCTACCCTCCCACCCCCAAGTAGATCACAGTAGGATCGCATGCCCAAAGGCACCACGTGGGGAAGGTACCTGCCACCCACCTGCTTTCCGTGGAGGTTGTACATGCCCATGGGGCAGAGAGGCCTGGAAGTCTGCAAGCTCTCTGTGGTTGATCGTGCACAGTATGTGAAGTGCTACTTTGCCTTCCTGGATTGTCAGCCAAACTCGGAGGGTTGACCATGAGACCCCTATGTCTCCTTCTAGTCACTCACTCTCCAAGCGGGACCCTCTCTACAGCTACCCATCTAACCTGCTCTAAACATTGGAGTAAAATTCCTGGGTCTGTCTAAGAAACACTTATCTTGTGAGAGATCCTAAGGATAGCTGGGAACCAGCTTTAACTCTGTGAGATGCTGGCTCTGGTTCTTGGGCACTGGGCTGCGTGTAATGGCTCAAGAAATCTAGAGGCTCTTAATGTCCAGAGGGCTCTCTCAGGGACACAACTTTAGTTCTTTTTGCTGTAAACAAACCAGGCTACCTGCTGCCAGACAGCTCCACTGCCCTAACCATTGTCATCCCAGGGGTCAACCAGGCTTGCTCTGCCTGGGGCCCAAGACACCTAGTGCTTTCTTTCTCTACCCGCAGTGGTTATGGCAGATGCCTCACCGCATCCCTGCCCCTTGCTTCACTCTGGGTGTTCTTGCCCTCTGGGAATCCGGAACGGTTGGTAGAGCTCCCATCAGGAGGAAGTGTGCTGGAGTTTGGAGTGGGACCAATGGGGCTGTGCACTGGCCCCAGCAGGAACTGCCCCACTGGCCATTTTAAACACATAAAGGTCATAGATGCTTTGTTGGTCAGGCAAGAGCAAAAATCACCCTCCTGCCGGCCAGGGGTGCTGGGAGCCCAGACCATCTCAGCGCCTGGCTGCACTTCTCCCATTACGAGAGCTCTGTTACAAACCTTTCTGTCCTTCAGAAGCTTGAAAAGGACCCTATTCTCTTTGCTGCATTGTCTTTTTTCTTTCTCAAATTCAGACCCTTCCCATCTCCTCCCTGTCTGATTTATGAAGCATACATACATATAGCCGAGGTCCATGTTTTCCTCTGACTGTCATTAGCGTCCTCAGGATAAACCATAAAGCAACTGGAAAACCATCAGTCAGGTGTTTGGATGTGTCTGGTTATCCGTGGACTCCCTATCCCCACCTCCTGAGGCCTTGTACTTAAACTAACTTCTTTCTTTTGCAGTGTCCCCGTGACAGGCATAAAAGGATGTGACTAAGTAGACACTGTGATTTTAACATTTATTTGCTGCTGACATTTTTTACTTTGAATGAGGGTGAGCTATCGATTTTTATTTTAAATGCTCTTCAGAAGGAGCCCCGACTCATCCCTGGGACAGAATTCCCTTAAAACCAGGTTAAGTTTGGGAGTCTAAACTCTCTGCCTCAAAAACATCCAGTGGAGCTGGGGAGATGGAAGCAACTTTCCAGGTCAAGGTTTTCCTTAGAAAGTCCCTCCCTCCTGCGCCAGCTTCCTCTGTCCCAACCGTTCCGGTGGCTTTGCTTCTCAACAGAATCCAAGTGAAGTTCCCTGCTGGGTAGTCTCAAGAAGCCCTCTCATCACCCTGTTCATCTTTAATGGCTATAAAAATCCAGCTCAGAGGAGGAAAAATGTTAATCAGGCAAGCCCTGCCTTTGGAGGGACTTACTGGCACTGATGGAAGAACAGGCCAGTGAATACAATGGACACCAAACGTGCCATCAGAATAAAGAGCCGAGCGTAGGTGTGGCCGCGCACAGCACAGCTGGCCAGGCCGAGGCTGGGCTGGAGCTGGGGTGAAGCCTGTGACACGGGCTGCACACATGTTCCATGCAGAAGTATTGGTTCTCAGCAGATAAGGCAAGTTGAGAAGCAAAGCCTAAAGATGCAATTTCCCCACAAGTTCTTTTCTCTCCTCTCATTTGGCTTTCCTCTGATGACAACAGGCCATTCAGTGGCTTGACGGAGGGCTGGGAGAACCATACCTGTGTTTAACAGATGGAGCGAACTCCCTCTTTAGACTCCCGGAGCCAGAAGCTGGGGCTGAGTAACCGAATCCATAGCCGTGAGGACCAGCTCTTGAATCTATGGACGCTGGAACGCGGTGCCCCAGTATGGAGTTTAGTTCTCTTGTGTCATATGCAGGGGCGTTACGTGGCCAGAGCGGGCATCTGGTCATCTCCAGTGGGAGGGGCCTTTGGGGCAGCTACAGGGTAGACCATTGAGAGACCCAGAAGGGGAGACCTCTTGCATCAAAACAGGATGAAATTAGGTTACCGTTCCTTAAAAACTCAACAGGGTTGCTTTTCTGCCCATTGCTTCAATATCTGGGGTGCTCTGGCACCACAAACCATTGTCTCATCTTCCCAGCCAGGGTATGTTCGGAGGAGGCCAAGAAAAGTCACTTCTCTGCTTTGCTTTGACTCATCTTTTTTTTGGGTCCCTGGGTCTTCTTTCCTACCCTTCCAAGGGGAGACCTGGTGCCCTTAGCACTGCTCGGCCTCCACGAAGCCCTCCTTCTCGTGGCCCGAGGGCTCGACCTCTGTGTAGGTGGAGTGGTTGGGGTGGTTGCGGAACTTCATGGCTGGCCAGTGGTGAGGTCTCCGCTGCGGGGGCACAGACGCAGAGTCAGCGGGCACGACCTCACCTACTGGGGACACCCCCCATCAGAGACAGCACTGGGCACCAAGACTCTTTTCCAATGGCGCTGGGGGCCTACTGTGAGTCAGGGGAAGGTCAGGGCCCCTCTCCTCAGAAGGCTCCCCACTGTGATCCCTCGGCCACTGGGAAACCTGCTGGGAGCCCGAGGAGCCTGGAAGGAGGTCATTTATCCCTCCCTGCGTGGACTGCAGGACACAAGGTGAAAGCCTTAGCAACACATCCAGAGGATCCCTGAGACTGTGGAAAGCGAGGGAGAGGGTAAGAGATGGAATGTTTGGGGAGGCTCTGAAAATGCCGAGCTAACCCTCCAGACAGTGTAGCTCCTGCATCAGTCAGCTGGGGAGCCTATGAAAATGCAGACTCCTGGGCCCGCCTCAGACCTTCTCCGCCAGCATCCTTGTGGCTGGGGGCCTGCAGTCCTCCGGGTGATACTCAGGTGGACTAAGACTTAGACAGACTGATCAGGACTCACAAGGAACAGGGGCCGTCTAAACAGAGAGGAGGGAACCACCTAGGCTTCTGGGTAATGAGGTTGGTGGAATGTGACCCGTGTGGAGGAGACTGTGGTCACAGAGGCGCCACCGCTGTGCCACGAGGAGAGCGGTGAGAAGCTGAGAGTGGAGGGGGCTGGGCCTCACTTCCCATGCTGCAACTCTGCTGGCTCTTCGAATTGTGAGACATTCAAAACCATAGCATCCTCAATGAAAGCTCCCAGAGAGAGCAACTCTTATAATTATTATGACTTGTCACTTCTAATCTAAAAAACCCACACAGCAGGCAAAGAGACAGAGACCTCAGTTCCATTGTGGCTTTGAATAAGCACCAGGTCTGGAATTCGGGTGTGAGGGACCATAAATCATTAGGGATTGGCTGCATGGCCACTAAATGGACATGTGTGGCACTTCTTTCTTTCCTCTGGGGATTTCACAAGTGGGAGAGCAAAAGCAGATGCGCTGCTCAACAGGACAGGAGGGCTGCAGGAGTTCTGAGGGGCGGAGCACTTGGGGTTAGGGACTAAAAGGACACCAGCCAGTGTGTGATAGAGTGTGCCAGGATAGAGTCCATGAAGGTTCCTCAGGTAGGAAGAGGAGCCAGGCATGTGGGGGTGAGGGATGAGACGGGGAGAGGCGGGTACCGAATGGCAGGGGAAATGCTGATGCAGAAGCAGATGGCAGAGCTGCAACCAAATTCTACACTGACCTCAAGGAAGAAGAGCGCAGCGTTGGAGGTGGGGTGGCCATTGATGTAAATCCCTGCCAGGATGATGGCCGCCACGAGGAGGACCGCCAGCACGATGCCCACGATGGTGCCCAGGTGCACGGGGGGGCCCTTTGTCTTGGGGGACAGGTTGTTCTGAAGGCCTGTGGAGAGACCATTAGGGGAGGGAGTGGCTGCAGGGGAGCAGGGAAGATGGGGCCATGGAGTCTTGGGTTCTGACAAAGCCTCAGAGATGAAAGCCAACAGAACCTTCGGATCCACTTATCAAATACATGAAAAAGTGGGACGGGAGTGGGTGGAATCATCATGAGTGTGGCATTTACGTTCTTGGCACGGTTCAGGTGGTTTTCCAAAAGCACTTAAAAGTTGCCCAAATGTCTAGTAAGGATCATAAGAGAAGTTCTCTCTGATGCCCATGCCACATAAGCACTTTTAAGGAATTCACAAAGGGCGCGTGATGGTAAAGAGTTTGAGACCTGGAGTCTGGCTGCCTGGGTTCAAATCCAGGCTCTGCTGCTTACTAGCTGCGTGACCTTGGACAAATTATTTAACCTCTCTGGGTTTCAGTTATCATTTCTGCAGAACAAAGATAATAATAATAACTACCTGAGAGGGTTATTGTGAGGGTTAAAATGACATAATTTATGTCAACTGCTGGGGACCATGGCTGGTATCTTGGACGACCTCAATAAGTGTCAGCTGTCACAATAGCAAAATGACCATATTTTTACCTGTCATTGTTCACTACCAGATTGTGACCTCCTAGAGGGCAGGGACAGTGTCTTATTCATCTCTGTGTCCTCAGCTCTTAGAAAAAATGGCGGACCCAGGGTAGGAGCTCAATAAAAGAAGTGAACTAGATCCTCTGAGGGCTAATAAACCAGCAGGCACTCTTTGAGAACATTCCAAGTATTTGAAACACATCCCAAGGAGGAGACTGAGTATTCCCGTAGACTATGGAGCTGGAAGCTCATCCAGTCCACCCCTTTCTCGTGTGGCTGAGGTAATGGAAATACAGAGAGGTGAAGTGATGTGCCCAAGGACACAGTCAGTGCCGGCCACTAAGAAGCCTAGCTCCTGACATTACCTGGGGTGGCTATTTGCTTCTTCTCCCTGCCCTGTAGAGATGCGGAGAAAATGAAATAGAGACGACAGACGAGCATGTAAGCAACAGAAATATCAAATCCTTTTTACATAGCTGGTGGGTGGGATGGGAGTCAACAGGGGGTGGGGATTTGTAATAGGATGTTGCATGCATCCAAAATCATTGTCCTTCCCATCCCCTCTTCTCTGCAGGCAGAGGAGACCCAGGAGAGAAACAATCCCAGGCACTCTAGTGCATGGTTAGTGCCTCTATCTGCCAACAGGTGGGGGAGTTGAGGTGACAAGCTAGCCTCCCCTGACCCAGCAATCAGCCCGCAGCCTGCAGTGACCCTGATGATCTGACGGTGAGGGCTTGGGCTGATGAGCACGTGGCACAGAGCAGGGGAATGTGGCCCAGTCCCTCTCCACACACACACACAGACACACGTACACACTCACACCTGCTGCCCACAGAGGAGTAATGGCTCCATCTCTGGTGGGAGACCCGATCCAGCTGAGCTGCACTAATCATCTTTCCTCTCCTGCTGGACCCCAGATGACAACCCTGGAGTTGGAAAGCATTTCCGTCTCCCTCTTGCAGTGGTTGCAGCAAGGGCCTGAGCTGGCTCTGGGCAAGGGGAGGGGAGTTGGGGTCCCTCGCGTCATCAGAGAGGAGATTATCTGCCCAGGTGACCCTGGGGGCAGGGGACCCCACCTCTGGAGCCGCACCTCTGTAAAAATTGTGGTGGATAACTTTTGTGTACTCTCTGCCAACCCAGGTTGGGAATCAAAAGAAACTGCTCTCCACCTCTCATTGACTGTGAGGCCCACGGGGACAAGAGGCCGACGGCCACAGGCCCCACACTGCCATGCCTGCCCCAGTGCAGCCCTTCCCTCTTCCTCTCGCTCTTTTCAGGGCAGCAAATAGTCAAGAGCAGAGAGGCCTGGAGAAGAACTACAGGAGGTTCCTGGCTGAGAAGAGAAATGTCTAGATGTAGACACAGGTTCCTTCAATCTAGGGGGCCTGTGCCCAGAAGCCCCTCTGCCTTCCCACCCAGCAGGAGGTCTGGGAAGCTCAGGCTGCTATCATTCCCCCCTCCCCCGCTCGGAATAAAATCGAAGAGGCCAGGTGACAGCTGTACCCTCTTCTGGAGGGGGGTCCAAGAGGCAGTGGGTCTGATGAAGAGGGGCAGGCAGCTCTGTACTCACCATCTTCTCCTGCATAGGGATTCAACTTGGTGTCATCTTCAAAGAAAAAGGAGAGAAGGCACAAGATTAGTGGAATCATTATGGTCTTCATCACTCTAGGTCTGAATGGGACATTAGGGAGGTTCAGTCCAACCTTTCATTTTAGAGGCAAGGAAACTAAAGCACTGAGAGGGGGTGACTTGCTCAAAGTCACACAGCAGTGTAATGTTAGAAGGCCATGAACAAGCCAACTTTTCCTAGTCTCATGTTCATTCATTCAAGAACTATTTATTGGGCCGGCCCTGTGGCTTAGCGGTTAAGTGCGCGCACTCCGCTACTGGCAGCCCGGGGTTTGGATCCCAGGCGCGCACCAACGCACCGCTTCTCCAGCTATGCTGAGGCCGCGTCCCACATACAGCAACTAGAAGGATGTGCAACTATGACATACAACTATCTACTGGGGCTTTGGGGAAAAAAAAAGGAGGAGGATTGGCAATAGGTGTTAGCTCAGAGCCAGTCTTCCTCAGCAAAAAGAGGAGGATTAGCATGGATGTTAGCTCAGGGCTGATCTTCCTCACAAAAAAAACAATTATTTATTGAGTGTTCACTACTGTGAGTTGAGCACTGGGTCACGTGGTCTCTGCCCTCAGAGAGTTAACAGGTGGGAGGGATGGAGGGACAATTAAAATCCAGCATAATGAAGACTGGGGCCCTCACCCAGACCAAGGGAGTCGAGGAGGGATGAGATACAGGGCTGGCAAAAAGGGTTCCAGACAGAGGAAAGAGTGTGGGCAAAGGCTCAGAGGCAGCAAGAACTTGGCCAGTTGAGAAATAAAAAGCAATTCAGTGGAGCTGGAGGGTGGAGAGGATGTGAGTAGGGGGTGGTGAGGGTGAGGCGGGGGTGGGGGGACAGATGCCTGGAAAGATGAGTCGAAGACTGTTCACGTTCTCCTCAGGGGCCACAGCAAGCTGAGGAAGGATCTGAGGAGGGAGTGTGTCACCAGATCAGATTTGCCTGGAGTACAACGTTGAGGACAGATTTCCATGCCAACACTCTCTCTGCACCTCAAGGTGTGTATCCTGCAGCTTCCTAGATAAGTCCCAATGGTTGGCCCTTCCCCGCACAGTCATACGGGGAAAGGAGAACAAGAGTCCCATGTCAGGAGAAGGCTCTAGATGACTGGACATGACTGCTTTAAGCACCAAAACTTTAAACAAATTGAACTATTCCACAATTTATGTCCCGCAACATGCACTTCGTTCCTCTCCCCGCTCCGGCACCTCCACCATCCAGGTCATTTTAAAGGCTTTACTGGCTCCCTTTTGTTCACAGGTGTTCAAGGCCCTTCACAATTTATCTCTCGTCTTCTTTCCTCCTGTGACTCGCCACCACTCAAGACTGTGGCAGTGGCCGTAACAAGCTGCCCAGGGCACTCTCAACCTTGGAGATCTCTCAGGCCTCTGAGCCACTGCATATACTGTTCCTCCTGCAGGGTGCCCTTCCTCCCCTTCACTGTCCCTCTTTCAAAAGTTCCACCCCTGAAATGCCCTCTGCAGGGCTGGCATTAGGGTGACACAAGTGAAGCAGGATCTGATCCTGTCTTTATTTAAAATTTTGATATTTTATTCGTCATGGAATTTTTGGCATTAATTTTGATTTTTATAAATAATGTATTAAAATACTATTTATCTGGATTATTGTGGGGTTTTTTTGGTGCCTGCTTAAATTTTATACCTGAGCTGAGTCCCTCATTTGCCTCACCCTAGTCCTGGCCCTGGCCCTGTCACTTCCCGGAGGACAGATGGGCATGTCCTCCTCTGTGTCCCCTTGCATTTGTTACTTGTTTCTGCAGCATCTTGGGTCCCCTTGTTTCCCTAGACTGTGAGCTCCCAACACCCAACCTGTTTATACATCCAGTACCTGGACATGGCATCCTGCTGTGCTATACATTTCCAATAAGTCTTAAAATGTCAAAAAAATCACATTAGATAATGGAAGAATAAACTATAAGAAAAATTTTAAATGGTTCCCTATAGAGGAAGGAGGGAATAGGGTGGAGGGGAGAGAACTAGAAACTAAATTTCTTTGAATATACCTGCTTTTGCAGATTTGACTTTGGAACCATGTAAGTCATCATTTAACTATTACATAATTACAAAAAGTTAAATTTAAAAAGCACCCCTAAGAATTGAAAGTAAAACAAAACAGAGAGTTGTAGACTATAATAGAAAGATATGTTTCCTTCAGGAATTTTGATAAACAAGGGATTTAAATACAACTCTGAGTCTATTTTGTTACTGCAAGTTGAAAATAATGCATTGGTTAATTAAAACTGACCAAAGTAACCCTAAACGTCATTGGGCAAACTGACTTGATTTGAATCAACTTGTTTTGAATCTAGATCATTGAAAATCCATTATAGCCCCATCCACATCTACCCCGGCAGACAAAAGGACCTACAGCCAGTCCTTCCCACAAAGCAACTGAAGGTGACCATGCTGTGCCCACAACAGCTTTTCTCCCACTTACCAAGGGCTGGTTCCCAGCTGCTGTCTTGTTGGGGTCCATGTGATGTGTATTGGTTCCCTAATTAACGGATTGTGGTCAAGTCCCAGGAAAACTCACACAGAAAGAAATGCGTATGACGTTTATTGAACGAGTGGTCGTTTTTCAGTCGTTAGCTGTCACTTCTTGCTGCTATCAACATGCTCTGCTCAGCTGCTCATCAGATGAGCCCTTATACGCACACAGTTATTCCGGGTGAGGGCCCGTCCCTCTTTGTAATATAATGCATGGGCTCTGTGGCAGATGCTTGCCACTCAGAGGTCGTTCTGGGTCACTCCAGTGGGTGACATTTGATTGCAAGTGAACAACTCTTGAAATCCAGCCCCCATACCTCCTGTTCTCCTGGCCCTCTCTGCTCCTCTGCCTGGCTGATGCCAGAGGGGTCCATGCACCTTCCAGCAACCTGCTCCCACTAACTCCTCTGCTCTCTGACCCTGCCCTGCCCAGATGGGTCCCTTTGGTTGGAGTGCTATATCCTCTTCACTCACAGCATCTCCCCGTACCCTAAGACAGACTGTGCAGGATAGACTCTAACCCCCGGACTGGATTTTTAACTCCCTGATGGCAAGGTCTCCTCCTGCTCCTGTTTCATTTAATCCCCCGCAGCACCAGCACAATGCTGCTCTCAATACCCCCGCCTTAACCAGCTCCTTGCTAGTCCCAGGCAACTTCAGAGTAATGGGAAATGTCCGAACCTGCCTTGCTTGTCCACCTTTCGCTATTTTTCCCTGTCCCCTAAATCCACAAAGACCTTTTTCTATTTCTTTCAGCACCAAGAAAAGCAGTAGGGTCAGGGTCAAGATCTTTGCTTTTGGAGCTGGATGAGACCTGACTCCACCTCTTCCTGGCTATATGACCCTGGGCAATTTATTGACCTCTCTGAACCTTAGTGTCTCCTCTATGAAATGGCGATAAAAGAGCATCAATGCACAGAATTGTTAGGAGGACTAGTGAGTATTAATGCGTGCACAGCGTTAGCACCCTACCTGGCACACAGTCAATACCCCCAAAATGTTAGCTCTTTCCATCATTAGTTCACTTTCCTCTACGACTTCCCTCCAGCCAGATCCATGGGTTCCTGCTCTAGGTTTCTAGGCTGCATTTAGAAGGCAGGGGGCACAAGGGAAAGGACATTCCACCCCTTACTCCTCATGTAACCCTGAGTAACCTACTTTGTCCCTGTGAGCCCATTTCTGTATCTACAAAATGGGATTGTGGCTGAATAATGTTTTAAAATATTAACTTTGGCTCTTCTCTCCTTTCCTCTTTTCTATTTGCCCCTTTCAAGCAGGTATCTGGCTCACAGGAGGTGGTAAAAGCCCACAAGTCTCTCAGTCTTAGCCTAGGGGCTGAAACCTAGACGTGATAGAGAGACAAAAGGACAAGAGCGAGGAATTTCTCAGAAATAGCCCAAGAATCCCGGTGGGTCTGTGCAAGGCGTCCCGAGACACTTTGTGGTGCCGCCGGGTGGCTGGACCTCTGGCAGCTTCAACAAGACCCCCAGGCCTCAGGAGGGCAGAGAAGCCCCTGGGGACAGCCAGCCCTGAAGAAGCAGGGACGGATCAGCAGCAACCCAAGATAGACACAGCTGCCCACTCTGACCATCTGCCCGCACAAGGTCACAGGAGCAGGAAGCCAAGCCCCGGAACGGCTGAGGTGGAATTCCCCACCCCTCCAGCCGAGTAAGTATTGAGAGCCAGGGCAGAGTTACAGAAAAGGTAGGCCCTCTTTCTTTCACGTCTGAGAGTGTGGACTGAGTTCATACCTGCTACAGGGATGATAAGACCTCACAGGTTCTGTGAGGACCGCTGTTAGGATTAACTGAGATTTATTATATAAAATACCTGGCACTGAGCTGGCACATTAATTTTTCCCCTGGCCACAGTGAACTCTGTCCCACAGCCCTGACGTGGGCAAGCACAGTGGTTGGAGCCTGGGCGTGGAGTCCACTCGTTCTAAACCTGGCTCTGCTTCTCACCAGCAAGTGACCCCAGCTCTCTGAGCCTCAGGTCCCTCATCTGTGAAAGGACAGGCCAATTCCTATTCCGGGAGATAACCTGTCAGGGATAGTGATGCTCCAGGGCAGTAGCTCTTCCCCATGGCTTCTCTGGCCCCCTCCCAACCCGGGCTCAGACCTTACCTTCTGTGGTGAGGCTGTCGATGAAGAGGGAGGAGGAGGTGGTGGTGAGGTCTCCATAAAAGGGACTGAAGGAGCTGTCGGGGGAGGACGAGTAGTGGTCCTCATCCTGGAAGTCCTCACATGTCCTGCCCTCTGCCTGCAAGAGAGGCCCAGCACTGCCCTGGACGGAAGCCTCGCCGGCGGGCATGCCACATAGCAAAGAGCTCTCAAACAGGAGGACGGCGGGGGCACCTTCATTCCTCAGCAGCGGGGGCACCTTCATTCCTCAGTGGCTGGAACATTTAGGATTCCAGTGCATGGTACAAGCGTGGTAATCTAACCAAAGCTGGGCCCTGAATGCATTTAAGCCTTCCACTGTATCCTGAAAGCATCTTATCGTACAGGGCCATTTATCTGTCAGCTGTCTCGAATCCTTTCTCAAGGAAGGAGCTAAGATGCCAATCTTAAATAAACAGAGCAAATCTGTACATCACCAACAGCCAACGTCAGAAATGGCTGCTGGACAAGTTTTTTTTTTTTTAAGGCCAGAAAAAGACAGCTCACCCAGCCTTCCTGATAAGAGAGATGATGGAGAGTGCACAGCAGTGGGGTCTGGGGGTTTATGGTTAAATGCTGGAGGCACTGGCCCCCAGCTCTTGGGGCCATGCTGGGATTAAATCAGAGCAAGTAGAGCAGCATGCAGTGAAGGGCGGGCACACACAATGTGCTCGCACTGCAAGAAGGGATGGGGGACAGGGAGAAAGGACACACGGATGAATGGATCCGTCTGTGTTGGAATAAGGTGTGAGAGTAGGACGTGCCCCGCCCAGAACCAAAGTGTTGAGCATTCTAGAAAATTCCAGCAGTGGGAAAGAACCTCTATGGGCTTCTAAATGGGAGGTGACTGGAACAGCCCTCCTCACTCCCAGAATGACTGCCTCCCTCAAAGCCTGAGTCCTGGAGCCACAGCAGACCCTTCATGAACGTCACCAGGTGCACAGCCTCCAAGAGGATCCGAGTCCCGGGTGGAGGGGAGAATTTCACCAAGAGCCAAAGACACCTTGAGAAGAGCTACCAGACCAGTGGCCTGCTGGCAGCCCTACCGTTCCCACAGCCTGGCTCACTTAAGCCTCTCACCTCCTGGGCACAGCCGTAGGCCAGCCACTCCTGGCGGTAGCGGTCAAAGCCACTGGAGCATCTGCAGGGGAACCAAAGGTCAGAGGTGTGATGGGATTGGCAGAGAAGCCCTCCCCTGCACTTCCCGCCTTGCAGTAACAGCTCTTTGATGATAGTGAGGAGGGGGCTAACCTCCCAGGGCTGGAGTGGTCAAGCTCCCCAAGACCAGCAGGCAGGTGTCTTTGGTACCAGGTGGCACTGGGGTCAAGAGTCAGACCCTCCTGCCCCCTCTACTCCTTCTCTGGAAGGAGGGGAAGGTGTCTGTGGCATCCCCACCCTCCTCCTGACCCGGGGTCCGAGGACCAAAGCCACATCTGCCCAATTGTGTATGTGTAGGGGGCTGATGGACTGCATGACCTCTAATGACCTTTAAGGTCCCCTTGACTCTGGGCTGCCATGAAATTGCTGAGAATCCAGGGGATTCACACACATGTTCTCATCTGGGGAAAGTCTTGCTCATTCACTGAGCCCCCTTCTTTGTGGAGGGGCCTAAACTTGGCAAGGAAGGGCTAGGCTGAAGATGGACATCAGCAGATTTAGCCAACACCCCGTGTGATCATTAAAAGGCAGAAATGATGGTCCTGCCAGAGGCTGGGAGGGATTAAAATTGGCTGGTGAGGGGACTGTAGAGGACTTTGTGCAGCTCAGCTGGGCTGCAAGGTGCCAAGCACTTCCCTAGGGAAGGGATGGGGGCATGAGGATAAACCAGAAAATGTTCTCCATGGCATCATACTCAAATTTCCGTTCCTCACTCTTTAGTGCCAAGGGAATCCACCAAGCCCTCCTCAAGCGCAGGGACATCTGCGTGGGAAGAATAATATCCCAAGCCACCAGTGCTGAGAAAGGATTCATGGCTAGTTAACTTTCTGCACCAGCAACCGCCCACCCATCAGCCCGAGACCTGGTGAGGCCGAGGGCCACAGCTTTCCAGGCATTGTTGGCCTTTCCTTCTGAAGGTGCCTCGGTGGGCTCCAAGCTGCTCCTTCTGCAGCAGGGACGGCTGAACTGAGCCATCCACACTCCCCTTTCTCAGGTCCTCCATGCCCACTACCGTGGGGGATGGAAGATCAGGGGCGTTACTGAGGGGTGGGAACTAAAGTTTCTTTTAGGCCAAACTAACTGATTCTTTCAAGGACTGAGCCTTCGATAGAGGTCTAAGAGCATCACATTCCAAGTCCTCAGCCAACCAACCCAGATTCAAAGAAGAAGAGCACGAAAAATGGCCATTTATGGAGCACCTCCTGAATGCCAGGGCTGCCCCAGTCACACACTGCTCCTGCCCCAGCTCATGGGATCCTCGCACAGACACTAAGGCACGGATTATGACCCTCATTTCCTGAGCCAAAGCCTGGAGTTAAGGTCACCCTTAGACTCAGAGAGGGCCACTGGGGGGCAATGTGAGATGAAAGGAAGAGACCTGCATGGTAAGTGAAATTGTCTAAACCAGATCCAGCCCCAGCGAAGGCAGGGGAAGCCCTGGGAGGCTGCAGAGGGCAGAGCAGGTGCAGCGGAAGGGGAAGCCCAGAACCCATGTGGTGATTGCAAGCAGCTGTTGGTCGGAGACACCATGGTGGCTGGCCCCACTGCACCAGACATGCCCTCTGGCTTTTTAGGGACCTGGAGTCAGCTCTCAGTTGGAGCTGAGGCTCCAGAGGGCTGGCAAGGAGGGGCCCGTGCTGGGGTGAGCCCGGGCCCATGGGCATCTGGGGACAGGATTTCTAGCACCGAGTCGGCCTTGCACGCTCTCTGATGGAGCTTCTCTGTCCTGTAGCTGACACAAGCGCAGCAAAGGCAGTGTCCCACCTGAGGCCCTGCCCTCCCCCAACCTGACCAACCCTCATTAAACTGTCACAGTTTCTGGCTTTGGGCATATGCCTTAAATGGGCGTGTGTCATTGCGAGGGTTTTGCTTTCACCCATTTTGCAGTTCTCATGGCTCAGCTCTTGTTAGACGCTGAGTCACACAGTGGCAGCCAGCCCCAGAACTCCAGGGCTCATCTGAGGTCATCTGGACTATCCCCCCATGCTCAGACAGTGGCTCTCAAGCTTGAAAGTGCACGAGGTGGAGCACGCTGCAAAGCTGTGCTCCAGGAAGAACCCACCTGGGGTTGACCCTGTGTACGCTCCCTGAAGCTCTGTGCCTTTCACGCGAAGGGCCCTGAACGCCTTGCAAAAATGTCATTTGGTATTTGAGGAGTTAAAATGATGGCATGTTCCTCACCCACATAACCCCAGCCCATTTTACAGGGAAAACAAACTGAGGCCCCAGGAGAGTGACTAAGAGCACAGTTGGTTGGAAAAAACCCTGGGAGGCCTGATGAGGGCCCCTCTCTCCTCCTGCCCCAGAGCTGTGTCCTGTGTGCTAGGCAGGCTGCCTGTAAAGGCAACAGCTTCTATTTCTGCACCAGCATGTTGGAAAGGAGCGAAGGAAACACTGACAGCTGCACAACAGCTGCGCGGAACTCGGAGACTCTGTAATTTGCAATTTTCAAGACTGTCTTAAAGGCTCTTGGAGTTCATAGGGCTTCTTGCTCTCATGAGAGCCCTAGCCCCCAAAGAAATTCTCTTTTTTTTTTTTTCCTGCCATGTATTTATCTTGGATGGAAAAACAGGGCTTAAATTCTGAGTCTAATCTGTAAGGAAATGATTTCAGAACAAGGAGTGGAAGATGAGTTGGATTTAAGAACTTTATCCCTGAACCTGAATCTCATCCAGAATTTTCTCTGTTTCCAAAACCAAGCAAACACAGCTTTGTAGCTTCCCCAACTTTCCACAGATGCCTGCAATTTCCACACTCCTGGTTTTCAGTAAACTCTGTTACAGTCTGAGAGAGATCTTGGGGTGGCGTTTTGGGGTCACAGGGCTCTTGCCCAATGGCAGTGCGTCTTTGGATCATCCATGTCTCTGAGCCGGCAGATCTCATGCTTGTTTGTAGTTGAGGTACTGTGTTAACATGCAGGATCTTGGGTTTCTCTCCCAGAGATCCTGATGCAGGGAGGCTGGGGTGGGTCCCAGGAATCTGCATGTTGAACATGAGCCCTAGCTGATTCTGGAATGCTTGCATCTTTGGACCACTCTTTGAGAAGCTCCCCCTAGGATGAACCAACCCTTCCCAGGTGTGAGGAGGGAGCTGCAGTAGCTGGAATCTCTGAATGGTCTTCCAAGAGCCTAGTGTCACCACACGGGCCCTGCAGGGAGAAGCTCACTTCTGTGACATTCTTGTCCTAAGAGTCACTGGCCAGTGAAGCCGTCATGTTGGCAATGAGGCCGGAGGCAGGGGGCAGGGCCATGCCACCCTCTGTGCCTCCTCCACAGTTTGCCTGCGGGAACCAGAGGGTCAGCCTGGGCACAAACCTCTGGAGGACATGGCACCAGCTGCAGTTGAAGGTCAGATCCGAGGACACGCAGGCGTCACAGCTCCGATGCTGCAGGCAGGCTGTAAGAGAGAAGCCAGCGGCCCCTCAGCACCAGCTTTCCAGGGGCCTCCAAAAGGTGCAACTTTCTGGAATGCTGGGTCCTTACAGAACTATGGAGTCTCTGACTAGCAGGGACCCTAGAGGTCATTAATGCCACCCTCACTTGAGTCCAGCCATGATTCCTCTATCTCTCCATCCCTCTCTCCCTTCCTTCCTCCTTCTTTCTGTCACCAGGAGTCAGGCCCTGAGCCGGTGCTGGGGATTCAGCAGTAACAGCTGGTCCCTGCCTTCCTGGGCCTTACAGTCACATGAGGGGACAGACACTAAACAGATAATCAAACAAAAATAACCACATAGTTATCATTGTGATGAGGTTCATGAACGAAAATTACAAGGTCCTAAAAGCAAAGGGATCTCACCTAGTCAGGAAAGTTATACTTCTGGGCCATTGCCTACAATTACGGGGTTGAAAAGGAGTTTTTTTTTTTGTGAGTAAGACCAGCCCTGACCTAACATCCGATGCCAATCCTCCTCTTTTTTTTTTTGCTGAGGAAGACTGGCCCTGGGCTAACATCCATGCCATCTTCCTCTACTTTATATGGGATGGCGCCAGAGCATGGCTTAACAAGCAGTGTGTTGGTGCGCGCCCGGGATCCGAACCAGCGAACCCCAGGCCGCAGCAGCGGAGCGTGCACACTTAACCACTCGCACTACCGGGCGGCCCCGAAAAGGATTTTTTTTAATTGAGATATATTTGACATATAACATTGTGTAAGTTTAAGGTGTACAACATATTGGTTTGATACATTTATATTACAATATGATTGCCACTGTAGCCTTAGCTAACACCTCTATCGCATCACATAATTATCATTTAATCTTGTGGTGGGAACAATTAAGATCTAGTCTCTTAGCAAGTTTAATGTTTATAATACAGTTGTGCGTAATCATAGATTATGGATTAAGGATTGTTTAAGATGTCCTGGTTTGACCCCCATCAGTGCTAGCTGGGAGCACTCATTCCCCACTCCTGATGTTCAGTCTCTGTGGAGGGATTTAAGTCAGAGCCCTGCTCCTGGCCTCTCTCCACCACCTCACTCACCTCCTTCCCGGGAAGTCTGAGCGCTGAGTTTGGGAGGGTAAACCAGGCCTACATAATTCCATCCTTTCTTCTCCCTCTCCTCTTGGAAATGAGAGAGCCCCAGGGGGTGTGCTGACATCTGACTTGGAAGTTCATCCAGGCTTACATCTTACTTGGGAAGTTACTTAACCTGTTGATGCCTCAGCACCTTATTTGTAAAAGAGGGATCACAATGCTATCTGCTTGGTAGACCTGCTGTGAGGATGAAGTAAGTTAATACCTAGAGAGGGTTTATAATGGTGCCAGCCACGTGGCAAGCCTAGTAAATGCTACTTGTTATTGACTGTGGTCTTATTCATTCCTCTCAGTGTACCTATCAGGTATTCATTCACTCACTCATTCATCCATGCATTCACTCTTTCAACAAATATTTATTGAGCGCCTACCACGGGCCAGGCACTGACCCGGGTGCTGGAGATACAGTGGCAAACAGGAAAAGACAGAAGCGCTGCCCGCATGGAGCCTGCAGTCTAGCGGAGGACACAGCCAACAAAGACACAGACAAATACACCTACACTAGGGTTCCCGGCGGTGAGAAGGGCTTTGAAAGAAGTAGAGCAGAAAGACAGTGGGGAGTGTGTTCTATTCAGGGAGGTTGGGGAGAGGACGTCTGGGCAGGGACTGGGAGAAGGAAGGAAGAGAGCCTGGCAGCTCTCCCGGGGGAGGAGAAGTCCAAGCAGAAGGGCCCCTGTGGGCAGAGGCTCGGGAGAAGCATGTCCCAGGAGTGTTCCCAGCAGCAGCCAGAACACTAACAGGCTGGGGAGGCGGAAGGCAGTAGGAATGAGGAAGAGCGGCAGCTGGGGCCTAGCGTGGGCAGAGCAGGGTCGGAGAGCAGAGGAGTTAGTGGGAGCAGGTTGCTGAGGGTGCACGGACTCCCCTGGCATAGGCCAGGCAGAGGAGCAGAGAGGGCCAGGGAAGCAAGAGGTATGGGGGCTGGATTTTAAGGGTTGCTCACTTGCAATCGAATGCTACCCACTGAAGCGACCCAGAATGACCTCTGAGTGGCAAGCATCTGCCACAGATCCCACGTATTTTATTACAAGGAGGGACAGGTCCTCACCGGAATAACTGTGTGCGATATAAGGGCTCATCTGATGAGCAGCTGAGCAGAGCACATTGATAGCAGCAGGAAGTGACAGCTAACTACAGAAAAACGACCACTCATTCAATAAACGTCACACGCATTTCTTTCTGTGTGAGTTTTCCTGGGGCTTGACCACAGTCCGTTAGTTAGGGAACCAATACGCATTCCATGGACCCCAACAAGATGGTAGCTGGGAACCAGCCCTTGGCAAGTGGGAGAAAAGCTGCTGTGGGCACAGTGTGGTCACCTTCAGTGGCTTTGTGGGAAGGACTGGCTGTAGGTGGCACTGTGTCCTTTTGTCTACCAGGGCTTTGCAGGCCCTGGAGGGGTGGATGGAAAGCCATCGGCAGGAAATAGGCAGGGACTGACCTGGCCCGAGAATGAGAGCTCTTTGGATGTCTTATTCTCTGGTGTATCCAGACGGCCTAGAACAGGGCCCGGCACGTGGTAGGCAGTGAACAAACGTTTATGGATTCGAGGTATAGATGGTTTTGTTATCCCCATTTTACAGAGAAGGAAACTGAGGCTTGGACAGAGTCACAGAGCTAAGAGTGGCAGGTCTGGTTTTGAACTGAGGTCTGTCTGAGCCCAGAGCCTGAGCTCTTAGCCTCGAGGTGCCACTGTGGGGTCCCCTGCCCCAGCTTCCACCTTCACCTCAGGCCACCTTTTCATGATTTGCTTCTAGAAGAGGGACCAGCCATGGAGTGCAGAGTGTGATGGCTTGGAGCTAGCCCATCCACACCTCCAGGAGAATCTTGGCTAAGTCCTCCCCTACCCAAAGGTAAAGGAGAAAGCCTGGTGCTGTGGGATGCAGAATTTTCTGAGGACAAAGCCAACCGGCCTCCCAGGGGCTCAAATCACAACCTTGGGAGCACTGCCCCCTCCCCCACCAGCTGCACCCACGTGGAGCCCATGGCCTCGTCACTCCTAGCAACTCTGGAGGCCCCGTAACTGGCTCCGTTCAAACTGAGAAAAAACCCTGGGCACCTCGTGGGTTATTCATAAAACCCGCTGACGTTTACTTCTCATCTGCATTTCAGATGTCCTGCATGCTATTAAATGCTCACAAAATTCACTGGAGGGTTGGGAAGTGGCTTCAATGTACAGACAGTGTCCCAGAAACGCGTTCCCAGGGCGGTTCACTTCTTCCGCCCGGGCAGTTAGCCCTGCCCGTGGGTGTCCTTGCTCCTAAATGCAGTCTTATTCAAGTCCTAGGACTTGAGGTTTGCTCTCCCCAGTCCTTGAGCAACCCCTGGTTCTCAGGCCCTGGTCTCTCCTGCCTAGAGGGAGGGTGATTGCGGGTGGGGCTGTGACCGGCAAGGTGTCCTAGCCCCGTGACCCCATGGTGTCTGGCTCCTTCCTCTTCCCAGGGGAGGACACCTGCTGAGCCCCAGCTGAGATGTGGCCTAGCATTCAAGAAGAACCTTCCTCCTCCTCTTCTTTCTCCACCCCCTGCTTCTAGAACCTACAGGGAAGAGGAAGGGAGGGAAAGAGAGGCAAGAAGGCAGGGAGAAGGCCATGGCTCTAGAGGGAAGCTGGGAGGTACCATCAGACAAGAAAGGAAATTAAAACTCTCTTTTAAAAATACAAGAATGGGAGTGTGGTCTTCCTTTCCCTCACTCTCCCCAGCTGCCCTGACCACATCCTGAAGAGCATCCAACCCCACCCTGCGGGGTCCACAGCAGCAGCTGGGGCCTCGGCCACGGTGTGCCTTCAACAGTAAGTGAGTAGGGTGCGGGGGGAGAGGGCTGGGGCCCCATGGTTCTTGAAGGACTGCTGGCTAAATCCCTCTATTACCTTCTGCCTGTGGAGTCCAGGATTACCCCTCCTCTAAGGAAAATACAATGAAAAATTTAAAGACCAATTCATTCAGTTCCTAGATTACCTTTCCTGGGGGCTCAGTCTAAGATCTCAGAGGTCCATCTTGCCTGGGTTTCAATTCCATGTTAATAACAATAGCTGTCATCTGTCAAGCACAAACCACGCCCAACGATGAGGTGTGCCAGTTAGAGTCAGAGCTACCACTTAATGTCCTCAACTCCAGCTACTGTGGTTCTAACCCTCACCACAGCTCTGTGAGGGAGGTGGTATTAGGCCCATGTGAGAAGTGAGAAATGGAGGCCCAGAGAAGTTAGGTGGCCATACCCACGCAGGGGTCAGTGGCGGGCCTGGGAATGGAACCCAGTCTGTTTGACTCTAAAGCTCTTTCCAGGATCGTGGAATGCCCTCCCTCACGGAGAATGACCCCTACTCACTTGGCAATGGGGTGAACTCCACAGCTGACATGCTGGTGACCTTGCTGGGGTCCAGCTCCACACGGTGGTATTCGAAGATGGTCCTTCGCCGAGATTCTGAAACAGAGGCAGAGCCTGTCATCAGAAGCATCTCACGGCCAGAGAGATTCGAGGCCTGTACCTGGAGCCTGACACGTGGGCAAGAGATTGTAGTGAGTGGAACAAGGAGTTAGTAAACAGCCACTGAGGGCAGGAAGTAAACTCATCTACGTAGGATAACGATGTTGCAGCTACAGGCAGATAGGAGGACAGGAGTTCACCTTGAGAGGAGAGCTTCGTATTATAAGCAGGTTAAGCTACTCAGTGCAGAGGCCTGGCTGCTCCTGGGGTCAGGATATAGGAGATCCCATGCTTCTGCATGCCTCTCTGCTGTTCCCTTAACCCATAATGTTCTTCCATCCCTTCTCTCCTTGTCTAGCTCACCCTTCCAGATCTAGCTCAAGAGCCACTTCCTCTGAGCAGCGCCCCTTGACCAGCTCCCTCCTCTGCCCCACCCAGGCCAGGTGCCCACCTCCCTCGGCACTCCCCACATTGTGTGGTCACTAGGGTCTATTTGGAGGGCAGAGAGCATTAGACCGGGAGCATCTGGTCCTGAACTTGACCCGCAGTGAGCACTCTGCAAATGTCTGCAGATGGACAGGCTGACTTTGGAGAACCTCTCCCCTCCCGGACGGGGGTCAGAGCGAGGTTCAGGTCTGGAGCCAGGCTTATATCCTGCCTCAGTCCCTGCAGAAACTTCCTACAGGACCTCAGAGTCAGGAGACCTGAGTTCTGATTTGAGTTCTGCTCCCAACTTGCCAGAAACACCTGCCACAACACCCTTAGGAGGACAAAACTGTAATTGTAGATGAAAAGATTTTTCCTTAAATGGCAATCTGAGATGCTCTGGTATTTCCCACCACGTCCCCATGCCCACCCGAGAACCATGACTTGGGGCTGGTTTCCCTCAGCTCTGAAAGGCAGGCAGCCAGCCGCTGAGCTTTGTGAATGAGTTTCCCGACAAGGAGAAAGGGCCACTTAGTATTTGGTCTGCCCAGCAATTCTTCTTCCTTCTGGAAACATCGTTCTGTTTGGGGGAACTGCCCCCAGCCCCTTCCTACATGTGGTCTGCACTAGAGCTTCCATCTTCTTCCATGACCCTGCCTCCCTGGCCACACAGTGATTGGTCCAGGGCTGGGCATCTGATGCAGCTGGACCAATCAGAGACCTTCCCTGGGACTTCTCAACTGTAACCAGTAGGCCCTTTTGCTCTCTAGTAAGGATACTGAGAAGATGCAATCTCAGAGTCCATGAATGGCCATGGTTCCTGTCTCATGGGGAAGGCCAGAGAATGAAGCCACCTCGTGGAGAGAAGCAGGAAGTACTGGTGGCATTCCAGGCTCTGGAGTCCCAGGCCCTGCCCTGTTTCCTGCCTTCCCAGTTGTTAGCTCTTCCTTTGGTTCTTTGGGCTACTTCAGGTTCCTCAGTGCACCCCCTTTTCTGTTTAAGCTGGTTTGAGTTGGGTTTTTGTCACTAGAAGCCCAAAGTAGGTGAGGAGATAAATTTCTCACTCAGCTGAAGGTGGTTTGGAGGAAAGTTTCCCAAGGGGGCAGCAGAACTCATTAGGGGCACCCATGAAAGGAGGGGATTCCTGTGCCCCATCCCCCCACCCCCCGTCTCTCTCTCTCTGATGGCATTTTTCTTATCAGTGAATCTCGAGTGGGTCCCTCAGTCCCTCAGCAGCTCCTGAGGTGCTGTGGATGGAGCAGAGATCCCCGGAAGAGCAGCTTGACCACAGCGCTGTGCTGGCAACCTGGACATCTGGTCCCCCCACCTTCACCCTCCCAGCCTCAAGTGTCATCCCCTCACTGCCCTCTGCGGGCCTCTCCCTTTCCTTCTGCTGACCCCCAAGATCCAGACTGCTTGCCTCTCCTCCTGTGGCTTCCTTGCCTCCCCAGCTCTGGCTTCCCCTTGTTTCTTCCTGGTCTAGACTGGGTGCTGTTTCTTGCTTTTGCCCCACTGGAGAATAAGGTAACAGGACATGCGGGAGAAGGTCAATGCTCAGGTGGCGGGTGGACCTGAGGGAATCTCCTCTGTCACCACTGAGGGATCCTCAGAGAGTACTTATATCAGAGGCCCTCCCCACCCCCCAACCTACTGGCTCCTGTGGGGTGGGGCAGTGGGAGGACTTTGGCCTTGGCCTTCCTTTCCTGCCAGGGAGGATAACCACTCCAGCCCCCAGGCACCCTCCCTCCACCTGGACTCCTGAATTGGGGATGGATGGTTTGTCATGAGATCCAGGCCTCCTGCTTTTTTCATCTTCCTTCCATCATGGGGAGAGCAGGAGACTTGCTTCTTCTAAGGAAAACAGCTGGAAAGAGTGGGTGGGACGAGGGGTCCAGGTAGTCCTGAAAGGTGCTCACCAGGTAAGCCCGGCCCAGGTGTGGGCTTCATGAGCCATAAGATGGGCCACAGTTTCAGAGACTCAGACGTTATCAGCTTCAGAGCTACAAGGGCAGGTTGTCCTGCCATTCATTTCACAAGTGGGAAACCGAGGCCCAGACAGATTAATCCACGAACTGATAAGACTTTGTATAACACTTTACAATTTACCAAGCCTATCAACAGCCTTCACTGGAAAACATCTATTTAAATGAGAAAACTCATACAAAAGCACAGCACCACCACACACCCTATTCATTCACTCATTCAACACACAGGTATGGGCACCTGTTATGCCCCAGGGGCTGTGCTACGTACGTCTCGAGCACCTAGTGACCTGCAAGAGAGACCTGGCCCTGCCCCCATGGGGCCCACATCATTGGAGGTCACCTGGATCTGACTCCTCTCCCACCTTTCTCAGGGACACAGACGGACATCACCGGTGCCCCTATTTCACAAAGGAGGAAAGTGAGATCAAAGAGGGAACACTATGGGGGCTGGCCCCGTGGCAAAGCAGTTAAGAGCGCGTGCTGCACTGCTGGCGGCCCAGGTTCGGATCGTGGGTGCACACTGATGCACCGCTTGTCAGGCCATGCTGTGACGGCATCCCATATAAAGTGGAGGAAGATAGGCACGGATGTTAGCTCAGGGCGAGTCTTCCTCAGCAAAAAAAGAGGAGGATTGGCATGGATGTTAGCTCAGAGCTGATCTTCCTCACAAAAAAAAAAGAAAAAAGAGGGAACATTATTTGCCCAAAGCCGCATAGCCTTTTTTTTTTTTTTTTTGCCGAGACCAGACTTAAAACTCAGGCCATGATGCCGGGGCAGCTCCAGAAAGTCACCAAAGGTGTGTGTGTAGAGAATGTTCAACTGGCTCCTGGAGTGGGGAGCATTTGCCAATTTCTACCATGTAAATACTTCCCCGTGCTGATGTCAAGCTACCAATCTGGAGTGACTGAACGTGAATTGGGAAGAGACGCCGTCAGCCTGCTCTTGTGAATCGGTGTCCGCGTCTCCAGCACACCACTGCATGTGGTTTCTTGATTTGTGTTTCTAAAAGAGTCAAAGGGAAACGTTTACCACGTTTTCTTTAAAAATAAATAATTAAGCCAACATCCCAAAGATTGAGTAATTGGGTGTTTATTTTTCTCCTAAACAACCCTAAGCCTGATAAAGAAGAGGTCCGGGAGGCAAGCCTCATAAATATTAGGCAGTAACTACCACCTGTCTACAGGGTTACCAAGGTCTTGGGGAGGAAAGAGCCCTCCATCGAAAGGTGAGGGAGCGAGGTTCACGGAGCCCTTTACGAGCATGTGTACATCCACACAGACACACAGACACACACACACACACGTAGATTTTTTTGATACAAGAAAGGCCCCTTGCCAAGCAGGCGTGGGGTCTGAAGAGACTGGAGTGAGGAAGGGCACCTTTCTGTAATTCATCTGCCCACAGGAGACACCAATTTTCAATTCACACAAAGGCCCATATGTGCTGCAGGGCCCTCCCTGTGTGACACCAACTGCATGTGAAGGTGGCCTGGGCTTTGAGTGAGCCTGGGAGATGCAGAACATCTAGGCGGAGGATGGGGAAGATCCAGGCAGACTTTCACAGCTCCATCCCACCCACTACCCCCAAGGTCCATCTCTTCTTCTGAAAATCATCCCTTTTAGCATCAAAATGTAATGGGATAAAAAATAAATGTGAAACTCCAGGTCTTCCAAGGTGCCTGAGGCCGTGGGGTCCAGAATCGATGTAAACCATTCTCCCTTTATCTGCCTCATCCTTCAAGGTTCAGCTCAAATGACACGCCCTCCTTGAAGACTTCCCCACCCTTGGGTGCAGTTAGTGTCTCCACAGCTTCCTGTGCAATGTCCAGTGTTACCTGTTACACTGCTCGGTCAATATTTACTTTGCTGCGGGCCGGCCCCGTGGCTTAGCAGTTAAGTGCGCACGCTCCGCTACTGGCAGCCCGGGTTCGGATCCCGGGCACGCACCCACGTACCGCTTCTCCGGCCATGCTGAAGCCGTGTCCCACATACAGCAACTAGAAGGATGTGCAACTATGACATACAACTATCTACTGGGGCTTTGGGGAGAAAAAAAAAAGGGGGGGAATATTTACTTTGCTGGACACCCACCCGCCCCACCAGGCTGGCAAGCTCCCCAAAGGGTAGAGCCCGCAAGTTGTTTGTCTCTGTACCCCAGCCCCTAGCACCAGGCCCCACACACAACAGGGCCTCAAGAAACGACTGTAAACGAGTGAATGGGTTACAGATAGTCATGAAAACCTCAGCAACTTATTATAACTTCAGCCTGCAGCCCAAAGGAAGAACGCCCTTCCTCTCCAGCCCACCACAAAAGGGCAGCCCCAAAGGGCCACAGAAAGCCAGACATGCCCCTTCCTAAGTGAGAGCTCAAAGTAGGATGAGAGACGGCTTTCAGGACTTCTCCATCTGCAAGGATATAGAGGAGAGCTCGCCCTCTCTCAGAAGGAAGAGAAATGGGAGGAACAAAGAGACTCAGGGTTGGGGCACAAATGGAGACACAGACTTGTCAAGGGAGCTGATTTCAGGGTTAGAGACACACAAATGGCAGCCAGAGAAGGTGGGGCTCCCAGCAAACCTCACACCAGAA